GTTGACGCGCTTGCTTCGTCTTCTTTGGTTTCCGTACCAACGTTGGTGCATGCCGCCCCCTACTGTGTCGGAGTGTGACATTATGACTATATCAGAAGTATATTCTGTAAATGAAAATGTTTCATTTTAGTATTTGAACCTTGTTTATCCCCATATCCAATTCAGGGTTATCTATAAAATTCAGTTAAATATAACAGCAGAAAAAGAAAGGATACATTTTAGATAAAGAATTCCGATAAATGTGGAACATGTTAGAGTGAAAGGAAAAACTGTTGAACAATTTGCTGATGGAGTTGTTAGAAGGGTTCAGTACAAAGGAAAAGATAGACAGACAGCTGGGTGGATATGGGATAAAAAAACAATTCAAATTACTAAAATGAAACATTTTCAATTTACAGATATACTTCTGATATAAGTCATAAATTGTCACAACTTCGAAAACACGTTAGGGGGCGGCTGCAACAACCGTTGGTACGGAAACCAAGGAAAGACGAAGCAAAGCGCGTTCAAAACCATGTAACCGCGAACTCATATTTACTTTGGTTCAATAGTTTGGAACCGCATACTTTTCGGTTTCACTGGAAAAAAAGGCGGGTTTTGGGAATTTTTCCACCGGTAAGTTCAAGTTTCCACTTTTCGTTCTTTCAAGCGGTATTTTATTTGTTATGTTCATTCCACAAGTCGTTACCCCTTCTTGTTGAAGAAAATTTATTTTATTAAACTTAACAACCAATTCCGAAGTTCCATGTTTCACGTAAGAGTTCCTTCGATAATGAAGCAAGTCAAAGCTTCTGTGGGAAGATGAAAAAACGGTTTTGTGCCTGCAGAAACACGCGGTCCTTCGCCCTCAAACCCTAATTTTGCAGTCACCACTGTGTGTTTTGTTTGTTGTGTTGTGTGGTGTATTATAGCATTATAAACGTAATCCTTCTAAATTCCGCCCCAAACGCAGAATATAAGCAAGCAGCAAAATAGACAGTTTCCCATTTACTGCGGTAAAGTGAGGCTGCCGAGTTGTGAACAACCGGTAAAGTTGAAGGCCCGTGTTTCAAGAAATTCCGTTCGCTACAAGTGGGTTTATTTATGGTAAGTGTGGTTCTCTTTGAAAAGCGAGGC